ATTTTTTAATTTCATGTTTCAAACTTTATCATACCTGGAATGTCTACTGGACTCTTGTTTGGACAGATTTAGGTGAGTTATTCCTAGGATTTACTAAGAACTACAGGCCTACAATGTAAAACAACATATTTGCTTGAAAAACAATGTACCGCTTTTGGTACCTAAAATCCTGAATAATCATACCGCCAGGGAGGTTAAAGTAATTTTCTATCCAAAAAGTTAGATTTTAGTATGTATGTGTAAAAAATAAAAAAAAATTCTTAAAGTGACATTAAACCCTCAGATTTTTTAACATAAACCAATACTGTAATGTGTGCCTTACTGTAATCCATGGTAGTTCCCCTTCTCTTTGCTGCTCTTCCTTTTAAATCCTCATGTCTTCTCATGCTTGGGGAGAACTTCCCTTTGCAGCTCAGGGCCTCTTCCTGTAGTGCTGGCTCAGGTTACAAACCAATACACAGACACCATATATCCATTCCTGAGACAAGGCAGTCTGCTGTAAAACAGAAGTTCTGCCCAGCATGAGAACAGATACAGATTTAAAAGGAAGAGCAGCAAAGAGAAGGGCAACAACCATGGATTACAGTAAGACACACATTACACTATTGTTTTATGTTAAAAAATCTGAGGGTTTAATGTCACTTTAAGGTAGTTATACTTTGTTCTTCACACCCACAAAAGGTCTGCCACATTCGTTTATCACAAAAATGATTGCGCTTTATTCCTACCCGACTGTAACAATTAGCAGCTTACTATCACAACCTGTTAAAATAAATAACGGGACACGTCAAGGATGCCCCCGTTGCCATTATTATATACAGTATCTTGGCTATGGAGCATTAAGCTAATGCTATTAGGATGAACGAAGACATACAGGGTATGAAGGTGGGAGATGGGATGCACAAATTGAGTTTATTTGCTGATGACCTGCTCCTCTATATCTCTAACCCCTCATAGGTTTACCATAATTGTTAAAAGAAATAGAGCTGTTTGGACGAATTAGTATATGATCAAAATCTGAATAGATGGATTTTTAGCACTTCCTGCACGTGAGCAGGAGGCTATTCGGGCTGGTTTCCCGTTCAGGTGGAGGGAGCGAAGCATTAAATATTTTGGGGTGCAGATGGCACTACGAGAATCAGATGTTTTTGAATTGAACTATGCAAAATTATTGGTAGAGATGCAGCATAGGTTAAATAGTTGGGGCCCAAAAATGCATTTGTGGATGGGAAGGATGGAGCTAATTAAAATGGATATCTTACCAAGATTTATTTATTTATTTCAAACTATTCTGATTAAAATCCGATTAGAACCCTGAGGGCAGCTATGATCAAATACTTGTGGGGATCTACTTTGCCACGATTAAGACATGATATGTAGTAATGCATAGACAGGATGGGGGAGTAGGTCTTCCACATATGGAGCTGCAGTTTTAACTAGTATTACAGACTGATTTTGATAGATATTGACAACATGGTCCAGATACCCCATTTTATTACATAAGATCTTCCCAAACATATCCGATCGATGTTGGATATGTGGAGCAGAGAAAGGTACTATGTTACATATATGCTGGTCTTGTTAAGTGATTCAACCTTTCTGGGAAATGGTTTACAAAATAGGAGCACATTTTATTAAGGTGCAGGGACATTTTACACCTGAGATTGCGCTCTTGACTATTATCCCAGGACCAATTAAAGAAGTCAAGAAAGGCTTATTTCAATTTTTTTTATTTGCTGCAAGAATTGTAATAGCTAGATATTGGAGGTCTTAAGAAAGGTGGCAGAGTTAGTAGCGCAATCCCAGGATAGGTACCCACAATTTATGGGAACATGGAACCTATGGATAAAGTCTGACATCACTCTCATGTGCTTATCAGCAATGTGAGGTTCATCTGCATGGCCATTGGAGGAGGGGGGAGGAGGGGGGAGGAGTGAGGGAAGGAGATGATGAGACTGTGAAATATCCTTTTTTTTTCTTTCTATTTTGTTTGGGGTTTTTTTTTGGTTTAGGGTTGGGAGGGATTTTGGGTTGTTGTTTTCTTTGCTTTTTTAGCGGAGACCCTTAGAGGGAAGAATGGTTTTAATACTAATGGCAAATTTGTGGTGGTTGTTTTAGAAAAAAGTTATGAATATTTTTTCTCTTATGTTTTTTGTCCCCGATTGGATTTCCTCCTGGGAAAGTCTCGTAACAGGATGTTTATATTGTTATATAAAAAATTAAAAAAGAGATATTATACAAAAGGTTTGCCAACATTTTAAAACAGTTAACAGGGACCCTGCATCAGTGTGCCCATTATATCTACTCATGGTACTGCTAGAAATAACCTGTGTTCAAATTATATGACTGTTAGGAGCATGTCTAATGCTCCTATGCCTATTGCAGCCTTAAGCTCCTCCTGGTGGTTGCTCAGCATCTTTCAATGACTACTTCATCAGCTGTGTGCTAATGAGCCTGGCGATACACCCTCAACATAGTTCCATGATTACTTTGTCAGCTGTGGGCTAATGAGCCTGGCATTTTATTTATTTTACTATCACAACCCAAGGGCTTGTGATAGTTTGCCTTGCTCTGTCTTCATGAGCCTGTATCCAGTCTATGTATATCTGAATATCATGAAACCTGTTCCTGTCTTGCTACCAGTCCTGACCTCAGCATGTCACTGGAATATTCTCTGTCTGTTGCCAGTCCTGACCTAAGCCTTTCCCTGGAACACTCTTGTCATGTCCTCCATCGCCAAACAGTTCTGCTGCTCTGTACCTGTGTCCTGCCTAAGACATTATACAGTCACAGTACATAGTTTAAGTACTGAGGCATCCGGGTAGTGGCAGGTGTACTTGCCTTAAGGGAAAGTTGAAGTCACTCACCACTATATAGTCTGACTGAAGTGTCTGCATCCCGTCCTGACAATGACAAATCTACAAAATTTTAATTCTAAAATGTACTTCTTAAATGTAACAATTATTTGAGTAGACTACTGTTGAATACACATAATCTGATGAACTACAAAAAAAAAGTACTGCATGCATTTACAGTAACAAAGTCCATGTCCATTGTAGGAGATAGGTGTAAGGTTTCAGACATAGGTATCTACCTCACCCTCTATTTGAGAGTCCTTTATCAGTCTACTTTTTTGTGGAATCCTTATACTATACAGTAAATTAAAAACACATAGGAGGTCCACTTAAAAACACTGCAGACCCAGAAAGATCAGGAGGCAAAGTTATTTCTTGTGCATGACAAGGAGGTGGGTAGAGTTGGTACTGCCTTACAAAAAATAATTAGTGCTGAGGACTTAATTCATGCTATAGGGACAGCAGGAGACTCAACTGATCATGGGACTTCATATATGTCAGGAAACTGTGTGAACTGCAGCATGATATAGGACCTAACTTGGCTTTTGCTCAGGGCACCAACTGGCCCCACCTACATATTTTTAAATATCTGAATTTGATGGTCTGTGAAAGGCAAAATTGTATTCCAAAAGCAAACTCAATTTAGCATTGCTTAAAGGAGAACTATGGGGTTAGGGCTTTTCCCCATAGTTCTCCTAAGGGTAACGGGAGGACACAAACTAGCGTCCTCCCATCACCCAAAGCTCAGTATACCGCGAGCTACAGCTCGCGGTATACTGAGACGCCGCAGCCGAGACAGAACCCGACAATTATGTTTGGATTCACCCAGCTGCGTGAGTGACAGCTGGCTCTGCCTATCTAGAGGCAGAGCCAGCTGCACCCGCCCCCTCCCCCATCCGTTCCGCCAGTTAGCGCTGGAGGATCGGACAGGGGAGGGGGGAATCCGGTCCCTCCCCTGTCATGGCTCTCTGCCGGCATAGGATCGAAAAGTGAGCAAGCCCTGGTATGTGTTCGCTCACTTCCCGATCTACTGAGCCGACTTGTGACAGTTTCATTGTCACAGGTCGGTTATAACTATGAGGCTGAGTGAAAATCACTCACCTCATAGTTCTCCCTCCACAGCCCTGATTGCTCCAAACAATTCAGCTTTTGTGAAAAAGAACTCAATGCAATAAATCTGGTCTCTTCTTTTAGCTGAACCCATTCTAGGATGAGCATATTAGGATATGGACATATACAGTTCCTATTAAAAATTTAAAAATTTTAAATGATCCCTTGGAAGCTTTTAGGTATTACTGTAGTAAAACATTGAATCATATTCAGTAGTGTTTTTTTTAAAGTTCTGCTGATTAACATAAATACAATATTTCATAACAGAAGTGAGAACAGATCTTTCCAAAGCAATTTAATGAATTTCAATGGAAAAACACAAATTCATGGATTACACTCCCTTCAAATTAGTATTCAATAGATGCACTTTTTGGCAGCAATTACAGCCTTTAGTCTATCTGTGTAGCTAGGTCTCCCTCAACTCCGTACATCTGGGCCCTGCACTTTCTCCCCATTTGTGTTTGCAAAATTTCTGAAAATGGACAAGAAAATTGCTGTTATTAAGTCATAAATTCTGTTTTGGATTGAAATCTGAAATCTTGACTTAAATACACTATCAGGGCTATTCACAAAAGGGTGAAGAGTTTGGAGAAGGCTGGAAAAGTGAACAATCCAGGCCAAAATAGCTGATTTGGGAAAATTCTCCTCACTTTCCAGTTCAGCTCTGTGGTCCAAGATTGTTCACTTCTCCTGCCTTCTCCAAACTCTTCACCCTTTTGTGAATAACCCTGTATGTGTAAGTTAGAATGGTTAAACGCGATAGGGGTTGAGCACACATGGGGAGAAACAAACAGTATGTATAGAGACTTTTATCTTCTGTAAAGACCCTTTGAGTGTGGCTATTTCTGGATTGGGTTTTTAGTGCCCTAGATGTTGTCTAAAATTTAGGAGTAACACAAAGTAAAAACTTTAAGCAATACATGCACAATTTAGCTTGAAATATTTTACTTACTTGCTCTGAGGATGTTTTCCTTGCTGCTACATCTAGACTGGACCTGCAAAGACAACAACAAGTATATCACTAAAAGCAGCAGAATACACACAAGTGTATGACCTTAAATGCCATAGTGACTTGAAACGCATTGCCCAGCAATGTGCGGCAGCCCTTCTAGCAAAAAAGGCAATTCATGGGCAGGCTCCTAGAAATGATCGTTTACTGCTTAGGAACTAGAAACACAAGGTGATATCTATGTAAAATATGATAATTTAAACAGATTAAATTTAGAACTGCTTGCAGGGATATGTAAATCCAACAAAGCAATATAACTGAATTTTTGAAAATTTTCAGAAACATGTGCAAAATAACAATAATTTTAAAATATTATATAGCCTCTTTTGAGGTCAAGAACCCCCAAAATGTACCCTTGTTCTTGTTAGCATGTTTTGTTGACTAAAATGGATTGATTAGATTTCAATTTATGCACATTGGAATCTTAGGTTTACATATCAGGAAGTCTGTTGTACAGAAGCCAGCCCATAAATTTAAATACATAATTACAACCACACAACAGTTGAATTCTACCAAGCAATACAGCCTACTTGCTGTAATGGAACAAATTATGACAGCATGTTGCAACTGATGGTGGTTTATGATTGTCCTTCCTGGAAAAACAATGTTTGAAAATAAAACAAAAAACATTTAATAAACATGACATATCGTTGGTTTGGTTCAGATTTGTTTTCCTTAAACTTACATTTGAACTTTTTTAAGGTAACTTATACAGAATTTCACAGAATATAAAGGACATACATATCTCTAAAATCAACAAATGACCAGAAATGATCAAAATATTTATTTTGCATTGAAAGTGAATATAACAATTTAGAGAATGTATCAATCAGGGAACAGGGCATCAGCTTTTAATAGAAAATGCTGGGTTCAAAAGGTTGCAAGTACAATAACAAATTCTATGTCTCTTTCAAAAGTCAAAAAGTTATGAAACTATTTTTTAAATTTGAAATATAAAAATATATAATAATTCAGAAGTAAGGGACAATGTGGTTTCTACAATGGGGGAAACAATGCTATTAGAGAAAAATATTAGTGTAATAAAAGCATTTTAAGGCTTTCCTCCTTATTTAAAGAGTCATTAATCCTCAAGTACAAGTTGACTCATATACACATACAGATGCTAATAACATTCACATAAATATTCCAGTATTTTTTCAGTAGTAAATTAATTACTTGTCTGAAAAAAAAAATGTGCTTCCAGTGATCACAGGTTGCTCCCTGATACTTTCAGTTATGAACAGCCCCTGATATTCTTCTAAATACAGATTTTACCCATATAACCCAGTTTGCATTTTAGGTTTACTGAGTAATTTAAGAGAACTGGTATAATTAAAGCCACTTTCTAGCTACTATTTCACATTTCCCAAGAAAACTGCAATGTCAATACATTGCACATCCTTTGAGAGAATGAGATATAAATTATTAGGTATGTGCTATATACAATTTACAAAACATAACCTGAACCAAGTCAGGACAGACGACAAAAAATGTCAGTAAGGTGCTGGTGGCATTGAATCATGATATATGAAAGAAACTACACCTTCAAAATAACACTTTCTACAAACTATGGACATCCATGACTGGACAAGTACATATGAAGTGCAGAACATGTGAGTGTGGTTTAAATTAACACATTTAGAAATGTGAAATGAATCTAGAACAACACAAATGAGTCCTAAAAATAAACAAGTAAGACTAGTAAAGAACTAGTGTGGAAAAAAAAACAGATATCCAAAGGACACAAGAGAAAAGCTAATAAGAGAAAAATGTTAGTGAAAAGACAGCTCTAAAGGAAGTAAAATGGAAGTCAGGAATCTTCACAAAGTATAGTAAGGAGCTCAAACTCATAGCGCAAAGCATCTTTTTGCGAATGGAAGCAGCTCCTTTGATCAGAAATAGTTACTCTTGTTTCGCAGCCTCTACTCCTCCTGAGTTCATCTTTAAGCCCTTCCAATTTATAGTGGAGCTATTGCGTGGACAAAAACAAAAGATCGAAAATAAGCAGAGACACTTAAAATTGCTGCATCAAGTAGTAGAAAAGTTGGGTAACAGTATAGCTAACAATCCTGACTTTTTGAAGTCGATCTTAAAGCAGTTTTCTGATGGTGGCTGTTACTATGAGCTGGAATAGAATGAATACACTTAAATTTACCATGGCATTCAACTTCTATTTGCTGATGAAAAATGGAACTTGTTGCATTGCATTACAAAATAAACAAAAAAAAGGAACAAAACAATGAAGCAGTCTTAAAAAATATAATTCTGTAGAAAATACTTTTGTAACAGTGAGATACAATACGTTGTAAAATTGCATAATAAAGTTTATTTTAAATGAATGGGCATTACATTTTCTGTACAATTGTATTTACCCAAGGTGCTTACACTATGAGTCAGTCAGTTAATGTCTGTAATGATTGCATGAATACAAGCAACATATGAATACCGTGCATTTTCAGTCATGTTAACATATACTGAAATATGGAATCACCACAAGATTCTGTCACAGCAGGGATGCATCCATAAGGTCCCAAAATGAACACGTCAAATTATTTACATATCTTAACAGTCAGTGCACAAAACTTACAGTACATGTCTTGTTAAACGTTCATAACTAGTACACATGGCAGGTTCTGTTTTTTACAAACATAAGCTAAAATTCGCTTATAACAATGCATTAAAAAGAATTCAAATCTATTAGAATAACATATCTTAATGCATCTCAAAAGTTTTGTTATAAATGTGAAAAATCTGTCCATAATTTGAGGTAAACTAAAATGTTTACAGGAAAGAGCCATAATACTTTAGTCCTTTTAACATTTCTAGACTTAAAGGTTATGTTCACGTATATACAAAAGCCCACCAGGGCATCCTTCCTAGCCCCTTAACCTATCCTAACTCAGGCTCTCTTCACCCAGGTGCTTACTTATCTCTGCCCGACAGTGGTTGCCTCTTCTGGGGTTAAATCCTAGCATATCAAGTGTAGCCCCTTCAAGTTTATGTCGGATAAAACGCACAGGTACAGCCAGCCAGCACTCAAGAGAAGATTTAGGCCTGGAGAAAAGCAATCTGAGAGGAGGTTGCAGTTGTAAGGCAGAGGCAAGTAAGCAACTGAGTAAGATGGTCTGGGGTAGATTAAGTTATGGGGCTAGGGAAATGGGCTGGTGGGTAGGGGAGTGCTAGAAGAAGAATTTAAGAATTTGCTTGGCTACTATCAACTAGGTCCTAATGGGATAACTGCAGTTTCATAAAAAAGAAAAAGAGTTCAAAAAGTTGAAGCCAGGACAGGATTAAGGGCAAATGATGCCCTAAGCACAGCCCATCAATGGTGCTCCCCTCAGCCTTGCGTTGCTTAACTGACAAGACATTAAGGGAGTTATTAACTAAGCTGCCGAAGGATTTAACCGAACCGAAGGGCTGCTGTATGCGTTATTCGCAATAGCCCCCAAATGCTGAGTTGGCTATTCACTCTCTGCTGTTTGGCCCCTTTGAGAATAGGGATGAACAGCAGGGACTGAACTGGGGAACGATTGCCTCAGCCCATGTTCTTCCTTCTGTTAACACTCTAAAAAAGTTAAAACATTTTTTACTCAAAACCCTTTTTATTACTAAAAAAACACAGTAAGTTTTCACTTGAAACCTAAAACCTTGTAAAGTCTTTTATCAAGTCCTCAAAACTAATTTGGTGCAACAAATCTGTTCTAAACTTAGCAGAGACAAGGCATCCAGCCTGACTTGTCACACAGTTGTTCTGTAAGGATTTTTAGTATGCCTCAGTTGAGAAAATATACACTCACCTGTGCAATTTGTAACCATTAATGTTAAAAATTCAGTATTCAGGTACATTGGGAAGTTTAAAAGCAGTCCAACTGAGGGGTGGGCAAAACAGTAACAAATATTAATAGGCCCATGTGAACAACAGGTATCAGAAGAGACTCAACAGAGCTCACAGAGTCACCTGAAGAATCTTACAACCAAAGCTGACATGAGATGAGGTCTGAACATCTTTCTGTTAAAACCTGATGAATGTGTGAACAGAAGACTAAATGGCAGCCTTGCAAATCTGAGAAACAGATGCCTAATGCTTAAAAGCCCAGATAACACTAACTTATCTAGTGTAGTGCTCTTAGACAGGGTAAGGTTGGACAGTATCATTAATTCCATAGGCTAGAATAATACGCTTCTGAATCCACCTGTAGATAGTGGAACAAGAAACAGGTTGTCCCTTGTAGGGACCCTCAGGAATGACAAAAACAGATGTAGTCTGTCTAATAGAAGCTATAGCTAAGAAGTAGACACAAACAGGGCATACATCTAGTCAGTGGAGAAAAATCTCTTTGGGATGACAGAGTTGGGAGAACAACATTCTAGCTAAAGCAAATGCAGGAGACCAGATTTGGAAGAAAAGAAGATTTAGGCCAATCTTGAACCACAATAAATGGTTCTTTACGGGATAAGGCTGCCAACCCAGAAAATTGTGGCACAGAGGTGATGGCCATGAGGAAGGCAATTTGTGAGTGAGAGTAGACAAATTGAACTAATCACACAAAATTCAACAAGGCAACCACTGCGAGGCAACCACTGCAAAGGCTAGAGGATCCCTAGAATGGACGAAAGACATGTTCCAGATGTTGAACATGGAAGACAGAAGGTCCACGTCCGGTGTCCCCCCAGTGGCGGCAGATGTCTTAAAACACCTAGTTGTGCAGAGACTACTCTTTGCAGTCCAAACGTTAAGGAAGAGGAAGTCTGCCTGCCAATTTTTATTTTCTGGTATGTGCTTTTTGGACCTAAACGTCTAAAATAAACCAGGAACACGTAGCTGCAAATGCAAACAGATGATCCCCCCACTTTGACAAGTGGGCCCCCCTCCCTCATTGCAAGGAGGATTTGCTATCAAGCTTGGAGAATTTAGCTGTACAGGATTTATGGCCAAACTGAGTTTTGGATTTAGCTGTGGATTTTGAGGTCTGGGAGAAACTAAAGGAACTCTTCTTAGCCTTTGTGGTATAGGGTTTACTAGTCTGAGGCTTAGCCTTCTTCTGTTGAGGTAAAACAGTATTCTTACCCTGGGTGACATCCTTAATAAAGTTGTCCAGTGATTCCCCAAAGCGGCATTCATCCTCAAAGGGTATATGCAAACAGTGTTTTTTGTACTGATGCTCCACAAATTAACATTTGAGCCAAATGGTTTTAGGCATGTGCATGGAAAAGAGGTTAAATCTGGAAATTAGGGAAATAATATCCAAAAACCCATCAATGCAGTAGATTGGGGCATCATCTCCAGTTGCTGGAGGACAGAGGGACCTGTGAAGACTGGAACCAGGACGTATCCTTGAGCCAGATACCTAAGGTCCGGCAGATGGACATTGTAGCAATGACACAAGGGGTTAAGGACTATGAGGAGTGTTGCAACTCAGGCAAGGGAAAGTAATCTGGGCTATCAGTGTAATGTCATTTAGATTTTACATTGCAAGCTCC